GTAGTTCAGCTGAGAGACAGTGGGGACTTTGCAGCTAGGGAAGTGACAGTAGAGATGGAGAGAAGTAGATAGGTTACAGAGATACTTAGGAGATGCAGTTTTGGGGTCTGATGAGGTATTGAGTATGTGGGGTGATGGAGGAAGGAGCGGAGTGACACTCAGGTTTCTGACTTGGGCATTCAGTCATTTAAAAACTTGTAGTTTGAGTGAGTAGTGTGTAGCATTTGCAACTGTATTTGAGGAGGGCATTCCTAACACTTGTACGCTCCGGAAGAGAATAAATATTTAGTGCTTTCTGTGCTGACAACTTGAATGTTTATTCATGCTGTAGATATTGCACCACCACATCGCCTCGGTAGAGAAACTTGCTTTGACTACTTCAGGATGCCCGCTTGTGATTCAGTGCAAGAACTTCAGAATTGTGCATTTCATTGTTCCCAGAGAAAGAGATTGCCATGATATTTACAACTCTTTGCTACAACTGTCAAAACAAGGTATTGTTCTTAGAGACCAAAGCTTACATGCTCAATTTGAGATGAGTTATTCAAGATACTTCATTGAATGTCTCATTATTGTTATTTTATACTTTAAGTTACTCTGACAATAAGATTCTTAATGCCCTCTATTTCCCCCAAATTGGCCTAGAAATAATTAGAAACTACTGATCTGAATTTTGAGAATGGTGTCCAAAGAAAGGTTTATAGTAAGGAAAAAGTAAAGCATTTATAATTTATAGTATAGACTTAAGAAACCATAGATTTACATTAATGTTTTTAAAGTCTATTGGTAGCAAAGGTAAGGTTGAGAGGGATATAGGCCCTAAAGAGGAATCTTATCAGTACTTACACCCTGGGCATCTGGAGGCTTCCTTCACCCGCATGACTTGAATTATATGTTGAGTTGGTTTTCAGCTGAGCAAACTGGATTGCAGCCTGCATGAGTGGTGTAGGAGCAGGTCTGTGTTTGCTCTTCTCTCCCAACACACAGAGCCTGTAACATCCTATTGTCCCAAGTTAAGCTGGAGCTTTCAGTAAAGATGGTTCTGTTACTCCAGGGCTTATCATTGTTCAGAAGTAAGTATTCTACTGAGTTCTGTGCAGCAATTGCTGTTTTTGGTCCACACTGTCCTAAAGGAGTGTATAAAGCAAATTCATGTTCTATATGCCCTCTTTAGTTTTTCATTACAGCATTAGTCTTTCCATTTTACTTCTCATTTGGGAAAAGTGGTGAGTAGGAGGTGTCTATTTGTCTTTATAATTTTACTTTTAAGAAAAAAAATATGCAATAGGAGATTTAACATATAAGTCTAGCTGTATTATTTATTACCTTAACTTTTGCTGATGACGTAAATCGAATCTCAGATTGCTATGTATACACCTTTGTGTGTAATCATTTGCATCAAAGAACTTAGAAAATATTAAGTTCAAGTATGTTCAGGTATTAGCCATGTCTTTGAAGATTTTAAAGAGAAAATGAAGGAAAAAAACTGAAAAATTACTTTATTTGTAGTGTATTGTCTTATAAATTACATTTTAACATTTCAAATTGTGTATTCTGTAGCAAAATATGAAGATCTATATGCATTTTCTTATAATCCCAAACAAAATGATTCAGAACGACTACAAGGCTGGCAAGTCATTGACCTTGCTGAGGAATATAAAAGGATGGGAGTGCCAAACTCACACTGGCAGTTGTCTGATGCCAACCGAGAATACAAGGTAACTTAACAACCTTTTGAAGAAATTAAGAAAATGATAGCACCAGAAGGTCAGAGAGGATCAGAGCAGCAAGCTGTCTATGTACTGCAGTGTGCTGCTCTTGCATTTAATAAGGCTTAAAGGTTTTTAAAGGTGGGTTTGAACTATGAGTAGAATGGTTATGTTTTATTTTGTATTTACAGATTTGTGAAACTTATCCCAGAGAACTTTACGTTCCCCAGATAGCAAGCAAACCAATAATTGTTGGTAGTTCCAAGTTCCGGAGCAAGGGGAGATTCCCGGTTCTTTCCTACTATCATCAAGATAAGGAGGTAGGAAGCTTCTCCTTTGATTTTATAAGCATAGTATGACTCCTTTTCAGGTTTAAGCGTCCAAAAGAACACTCTTTTTTACATTAAAATGTTGCCAATAGAGAACTGCTGGCTCTTTGTTTAATTACATTTTTGAAATTTTAAAACAAGACTGTACTGAAATATAGAAACTTTCATACTTCCTGTCATCATCTTGTGTCCCTTCCAGTCTGACTTGAAAATAATAGGATTAGTGAACAGGTAGGTGGTTCTTCCTTTCCTGCAGTTCTCTTTTGATCCTACTTGTGTTTGGAGAAACTGGATAGTTTTGATAAGAAAACCGTTGAGAGAAGGGAGAGAACCAAGGATATTTCAGGCTTCCATTTTAATAGGAGCCCAAATCAAAAGGATTTTGCAACAAAAAGAGGTAGCAGAGGCATCTTTGTAGTGAGACAGTGTAATCGGGTTGCTTTTTACAGTAAAACTTACCTTTGTAGCCTACTAACAGAAGGCCAGGAGATACTATATGTTAAATGCTTTCTATGCATGCCTTGATAACTTTGTAAGGTATTCTTTACTAATTAGCTGTAGCTTCCAAGTGGGAAAACTGAAGTTCAGAGAGGGTAAATCACTTTCCTTATATCTCACAGCAAATAAGTTGAGGAGTTCTGTGCCATTTCTGACACCCAATGCTTTGTGACCTGATTTTTTTCCTCTGGGAGCTTTTAGAATCATCTTTTTTCCCAGTGTTTTGAAATTTCACACTGATATTCCTTGGCATGTCTTTTTAAATTTCATTTAGAAACTCAGGTCTCAGTTTCAGGAATTTCTTTCTGTATTTCTTTGGTAACTTCTTCTCCTATTAATTTCCTTTATACTTTGTATTTAGTTAGTTAGTTTACATTTTTCCTTTTTTTTTTTGAAAACAGGGTCTTGCTCTTTTGCCCATGCTGAAATGCAGTGGTGTGATCATAGCTCTCTGCAGCCTTGAACTCCTGGGCTCAAATGATCCTCCTACCTCAGCTTCCCCCGTAGCTAGGACTATAGGCACGTGCCACCATGCCTGGCCTGATTTTTTTTTTTTTAACTTTTATTATTTGACAATTGGGTTTCATAGACTAAACCTCCATTTTTTTTTTTTTTAACTTTCTCTCCAATTTTTCATCTCTTCCTATTTTTTGGAAGATTTCCTCAACCATATCTCCAGTCTGTATGTCTTGGATCCTTTATTTTTGCTATAGTGTTTTTAATATGCAAGAGCTCTTTCCTATTTTCTGATCTTTTTAGACAGTTTTCTTAGATGTGATGTTTAGTTCTCTGAGGATGTTAAGGATTTTTTGAAAAGAATTCTTGTACTTCCCACATTCAATTATCTTTTTTTCCATTTTTTTCTGTTTATATTTTTTGTCTTTAATATTTCTGGTTCTTGGCTGACTTTTCATATTTAAGCTGCTTAGAAGTTTGTGTGCATGAGTGGTTTATATCTTTGAATTCTTTCTGTTGTATAAGTTGGTTTCCTGAAAGGGGAATCCTCTGATTTTGGTCCCAGTGTGTGTAGTAAGTCTGGCCATGATCCAGATGTGGGAAGAGGGATGGGAGGATCTTACGTTTTGTTATGTAGGCTTTCCTTAATGGTCCTGTGTTTTGTGGGTATAGAAGTTCACCTCACCCACAGCCATGTCTATTATCCAGAGTCTTCAGGTTGGTCCTCTTCATGGGATAAACTTTGTCTTTGGAGTAAGAGAGGATGTGGGAGTCTTAGCTAGTCCTTACACAGACATTCAACCATTTCTCCTGTTTTCAGTCATGCCCCTGCACATGCCTTTGGAGGTGCCAGTTGCTGAGTCTGTGTGGGATTTTGCTACACAAAATACCTTCTTACTGACTTAAGGGAGTTGGTAGCTTTGTTTGCCCTGCTTGTTACTTGCCAATCTGCTATCATCTCCACAAATTTTATTGATATCTCTGTCATTGTCTTTTTTCCCATTCCCTTGTGGTTTTATACATTTTAACTTTATTAGAACCTTACTTGGGTTTTGGAAGGGAGCAGAGGTAAAAGGTAAGAGTTTAAACAGAAGTTTCTAATCTGCTTTCCATAACTGAGTCATAGTGAGGTTACCTGGTTATGGCCTCTGTTGACACAGCCGTGTTTATATACATTGTTTGTTGAAAAGCTGGGCTGAAAATAGGTATTCAGAGCCCAATTTAACAAAAAGCAGAAAGTAGGTATGAAAAGAATTTAATAAGGTAATTCTCATTTTCTTCTACTATTTTTATTAAATGTTCATGGTTTTATTTTGTGTGTGAATTTAAAACATGGAAATGTGTGAATTTATATTCACTTCTTTCCTATTGGAGAAAAAGTATATGGTTCTAAATCTTTTAAATCTTTTTTAGGACTTTAAACAGCAGTAAAGATCTAATCTAACCATTTACTACTTACAGATATTTTTACTGTCTTATATTGACTATGTTTTAGCCCAAATTTGAATTGAAGCTTATTTTTCTCTTTTCTCTGAAAGCCTTTGGAAAATAAAAATTTAAATGTTACCACTTAAGAGTTCCTATTCTGTATGTGTTGACTAAGCCCTTACTTGAACTTGAAGTGAAAGTATCCTGTAATTTAAATAAAGCACAGAATGCAGGTATCTTAACAGTAAATTACTTGATAGACAATCAACTGGGTGTTGCTTCCTAGGACCCAAGTTCAAACTGGATAGGAGACATTTACTTTTCTTAGGAGAAGAGAATATTGGGAAAACTTGGGAAACATCAAGGTATTGAAATATTATTTAATTCAAAGAGGATTTCAAAGTTAATGCCTTCTAATTGTCATATTTGATTCTAACACTTTTTTTTTCTTTTAAGCATTTTTAAAGTTATATTTTAGAGATCTTTGCATAATCTATTTTCTGGCTTTTTAAAATTAGGCTGCCATTTGTCGATGTAGTCAACCACTGTCAGGATTCAGTGCCAGGTGCCTGGAGGATGAACATTTGCTTCAAGCCATCAGTAAAGCCAATCCAGTCAATCGCTATATGTATGTGATGGACACCAGGCCCAAAGTATGTATCTTAAATACAGTACAGTCTGTTAGTTTAATCATCTTTATTACTTTAATTAGTGGGAGTTAATAAATTAGCCCATATTTAAATATCTGAATCCTAGTTTTAAATTAACTGAAGCTAATGATTCAAAGGAAATCAATCCTTTATTTAAAGGATACCAACTTAGAAGACCCATTTCCTAGTAACCTGGGTGATGATTTCTTATGTCTTCTGATATATATAAAAATTTAGGAAAGGTCAATTTTATATATTGAGAACTCTTGTTGGTGTATGTCTTCTATTTCTAATATATCCATGTGACAAAATATAAGTCTTATGTTATTATGAAGAAATACTAAATAGTGTGTGTTGTGAAAAATTATAAATTCTTATTACTCTTTTTTGTAGAATTTTTAATTGGCAAAACACTTTATGTTAAAATAATGGACCTTAACTTGAAATATTCAAGAAAATAAAGAAAACTTAATAGTGAGTTAACTTAGGAAACATTGAACTAGAGAATTGTTATTTATTTATTTTTTTTTCCGAGACTGAATCTCACTCTGTTGCCCAGACTAGAGTGCCATGGCGTCAGCCTCACTCACAGCAACCTCAAACTCCTAGGCTCAAGCAGTCCTTCTGCCTCAGCCTCTCGAGTAGCTGGGACTACAAGCATGCGCCACCATGCCCAGCTAATTTTTTCTATATATTTTTAGTTGTCCGGCTAGTTTCTTTCTATTTTTAGTAGAGACGGGATCTTGATCTTGCTCAGGCTGGTCTCAAGCTCCTGAGCTCAAATGATTCACCCACCTCAGCCTCCCAGAGTGCTAGGATTTACAGGCATGAACCACTGTCCCTGCCAAGAATTATAAATAGTGAACAGAAGTTGTTGTTCTGTTAGGCATCTGTGGTATAGGGCTAAATTTTTATTGTTGAGACAAATATCAGAATCTCTTTTTATTAACACAGCTAAAAACCAATTCGTATGGGATCCTGAAACTAAAGTAATTAAAATCTTCAGTGGTAATAGCTAACATTACTTTTAATTTTTATTATAGCATCGCATGCAGAGCTGGTGGGCTACACAAAAGGACATTGGCAGAATTATAGTGAGGATTTCTTCAAAAATCTGGAATGATGAGAAAATAAGAGAAAGCGATGAGAAAAAGCGAGTGAGCGATATAGAACACAAGCAATTTTAGGCAGCTTTGTGAAAGGAATGGTAGCTGTTTTAGAAGTAATTCTCATCATTATGCAATCTCACAAAAGATAATGAAGAAAACAGAAAATAAGATTAATCTGAGTAAATTAAGAATTATTTAAGACATAGAAATAACTTGATAATCTTTTATTTTGTTAAAAATGAAAGATTTTTCTTAGGAGTTAAGAGTATTAGTGATGTCTCCTATGAGAAAAATTTTGTTCTACTTCCCTGTATGTAATCTGACTTGATTAATTGGTTAGAACTCTTTTTTGATAATGTTAGATATAAAAGGTGATTGTAACACGAGACTTTTTGAAGATGAGGTCTGATGGTGTTTTGTTTCTCAGGACCCAATAGCTCTTATGTGTATAATTGTCTTCTATACATAAAATATATCTTCCTTTGATTGCTTTACTAGTTAAACTTAAAATCAAGTAGTAATAATGTGAAAATGTTTTTAATGTCTAACTGTAAATTTTACTTTAGTTGCTGAGTAACCAGTGAGTCAGTAGATAGAATTTAACTGTACTTGTTACCAACTTGGGGCCCCAATTCACTGAATGAAAAGCTACTTTTTCTTGCAATTTAGGTTCTGTTTCATCCAAGTTCATAAGAATTTTAGTAAATTGTCGTATCAGACTATATGAAATCCTAGTCTGAAAGAATTAAGCGTGCCAAATCCTAAGGGAACCTCTGATAACATTTTGATGTTATAACTAAAGACCATGGGTCTATGGTTAGTCTGTTTTCTCCCTAGAGACCAGTTTATTTTTAGCCAGGATAGCAGATTATATGCCCCTGTTACATGGTATATGGGCCTCCAGTAATCTCTCATATACAAGACCTTAAGTAATCTGGAGCATATTTCAGATCTGATTTTCAGGGTCCCTGTGGCTTTCTGAATGATCAGGTGCTCTAGGCTTGTTCTGAAGTGAATCTCATAGGTTCATTTTGCATTGCAAAGAAAACCTCCCCAGCTGTGCTTACCTCTGAATCATTTAGGATTTAGATAGGAGACATTTCTTTCTTTTTAATTTTGGGATATTATAAGCATGTGGAAAACTGATCAAAAATATAAATGAATTAGTTTCATGAACTTGTGGGAACTTCTTGTCTGGACCTTTCCATTATATAGCAATCATGTTACTTTATAGTTTCCTTTTTTACTATTAATAACACATCTGACATTTTTACTTATGAAAAATGGTGGCTAACTCAGTCCTTTAAACTCTCTCCTAGCTAAAATATGGGTTATTTAATGTTTTCATGACACTTTTGTAAATTAATTTAAAAGAGAAAAATAATTTGTCTCTAAATTTCTAAAATTTTTAATTTTAGCTGAATGCAATGGCCAACAGAGCAGCTGGAAAAGGTTATGAAAATGAAGACAACTATTCTAATATTAGATTTCAGTTTGTTGGAATTGAAAATATTCATGTCATGAGGTCCAGCCTTCAGAAATTATTGGAAGGTATAATTATTGCTTACTTTTTAGGCGGCTTTGTCCAATAGAAATCTAATGTTAGTCACATGTAATTTAGAATTTCCTGATAGTCACGTTTAAAAAAGTAAAAGGAAACAAGTGAAATTAATTTTAATTTACTTAATATACTAAAAATGTTATTTTAACATGTAATCAATATAAAAAATTGGTAATGAGATATTTTACTTTTTGTTTCATTGAGTCTTTGAAGTCAGGTATGCATGTTATACTTATAACACATCTCAGTTTGGACAAGCCACATTTTAAATATTCAATAGCCACATATGGGTAGTGTCTACTGTATCAGATGGTATAATTCTAATGGTTTTGTAAAAAACTGCTATCGTTAGATATTTTGAGTAGTCAGTACAGTGAAGATGAATTTATGGTAATGTTTCATTTAAATATTAAGGTATATTTTCAATCATGGTATGGAATTTAAAAAATTAAAATATAGGACTATTTTTAGTTAAACGCTTATACTGTGTTTTTTTAAAAAGTGATTGGAGCATTTTTTAAGCAAAAGGAATAACAGAGAAATATACCCCAAAATCCATTATTGAGCTTCTAATAGCATCTTTTCATTTATAAAGAGTCTTACATATTTATTTTGTCCTCTTCTTTCAATCACTCACCTAGAGAGATCTTGAAAAAGACAAATGGAAACTTTAAATTCATTCTAATTGCAGTTTTTTTTTTCCCCTCTTTTAGTCAGTGGTACCAAAGGCCTTTCTGTCAATGATTTCTACTCTGGTTTAGAGAGTTCGGGATGGCTTCGCCATATCAAAGCTGTTATGGACGCTGCGATCTTTTTGGCCAAAGTAATTCCTTATCTCTCCTATTTGGTTTTGGGGTTTATAATGGTTGGGAAGGAGTGGATTTATTCTCTTGGGGGTTGGTATCTATTCCAGTCAGATAACTTTTGTTATTATTTACCTCTTTATTGAGCTTCATTTTAATCTGAACTTTAAAAATATTGTGTAGCACTTAATGTAAAGACTTAAAAAGAAATTCCCAAGTACTTTGAAACAGCATTTTTATCTTTGTTTTTTGTGTGCTTGCTCTGTGTTGTTGTGTTTTGTTTTTTGGAGATTATGCTGTGACATTATCATTGCAGGCATAGCTCTTCTTTTTAATGCAATGCCTGCTAGTATGATTTTTAAGTAGATAGACTCATTGATTTACATAAAAGGTATTCTGCTAGAATCTAAGTGTGTGATCTTTCTTTTCAGGCAATAATGGTTGAAAATGCAAGTGTGTTGGTACATTGTTCTGATGGTTGGGATAGGACTTCCCAGGTTTGTTCCCTTGGTTCTCTTTTATTGGATTCCTACTACAGGACAATCAAAGGATTCATGGTAAGGATTTATTCAGTTAAACCAGTGGTTCTTAAGTAGAAGTAATTTTGTCCCCTCAGAGGACATTTGGCAATGCTAGGAGACAGTTTTGCACTAACAGAAATGGTGAGCTGATGGAGGTCACGGATATTGTTCAACATCCTGGAGTGTACAGGGAGGCACACAAATTATCTGGCCCATAATGTCACTACTGCTGAGGTTGAGAAACCTTGAGTTAGAAAACTTTAGTTTTTTTTTCCTAAAATGTTACAATAGAAATATTCAATATTTTCTCATTTTTATCTAACAACTATAAATAATAAACAAGGCACAAATAGGAGTACTTAAAAATTATATTCTGGAAGAAACTTTCTATTTAAAACACCTTCGTTTGTTAAGTGTAATAACATGTTAGGCATATTTTATATCTGAAGATTAAATTTTTAATTGAACAGATTTTCTGCTTTGTGAAGATAAATCTCCTGTTTTTTGTTTGTTTGCTTTTAAGCATGTCAGATAACTTATGTTTTCAAAATTTACATCTTAACTCATGGCAAGTAAAGTAAACAAAGAGATATTTAGAAAGTTTTCATTAATTTAGAATTATTAAATACAGTTTTCATTAGTTTAGAATTATTAAATAAAGCAAGGGAAGATTTAAAATTACTAGTCCCTTTTCAACACCGTTATTTTGTATTGCTAGTTATTTTGTATTGCTAACGTATTGAATCTGGGACAGGCCAAATGGGAGTGCTGGTAGTAACAAAATAACATTCAGCTTACCTTGAGAGTGTAAGTGCAAGATGTGTTTGGCTTTATTTGTATATTATACATACAAATGAAATCATGTAATAAATGGCCATGGACTATGTTAGAGCTTCCCAGGCAACAGGAACAGCATGAACTAAAGTATAGCCTCCTTAGGGGACTCAGGTAATGTGTGATGGATGGAGTCCAGGGTGAGTATCAGAGTAGGGAGATTGGGTGCAGACGAATATAGTTGGGGGAGGGCCTGAGCAAGAGAAGGCTTGAATTGGACTTTCCCCTTTTTGGCTACTAGTGAGAGCCATTAAAGAGCTTTAAACAAAGGAAACAATGATTTGATTAGATCTGCTTTTTAAAAAGATTGTTTGGTGTCTTGAAGGTGTCTTAGAGTGGGAATAGAGGATAGGAGGCCAGTGTAGAACCTGCTGTAGTAACTCAAGAGAGAAAAGAGGGCCAGAACTAAGGCAGTAACACAAGTGGAGGAGGAGGTGATGGGTTCCAGCGAGGTTAAGAAAGCAGAGTCGGTAAGAACTGGTCATGGGTTGGATGTGGGGTAGAAGAGAGGAGTCCTTCTCTAGGATGATTCCCAGGTTTCTGAATTAGTTGCCACGATGGATGGTGCTGCCATCCTGCTCTTCACTGGAATAAGCAGTCGATCAGTAAGAAAGATTTAGACATGGTCGTGTGGAAGAATGGCAGAGAGCCCAGAATAAAATCTGTGGCTCTAGCCCAAAGATCACTTGCCCAAGGTCACAGAGGTGTAGACCTGGTGAAGCCAGGAGCTGAGCCCGTGCGTGCACTCCAGAACTTGCACCCTTAGCCATTATGATACAGAGCTTTCTCCTGAAATCAGGGAGGTTTAAGACAAAACCAGAGAAGCTAAAAGTGGGAATTTTAACGCTTTGAAAAGAATATGCTTGGTGATTATATAATGAAATTACGAAATATTTTAAATACTAAGAAGATATGTTTAGATTAGACTGAAAAACTTAGGAATCTATTATTTTAGTGGATTTGGTAAGTAGAGAAGCTGTGACAGGAATACAAAGACAGTCCATTCAAGAGGATAAATACTAACATTTGAATTTGAATATAAACTACTATTTTGATTTGTCTTTTTATCATTCATGTTTTTTTTGAAAAAAGTATTAAATAAGTAATGTACAAGTAAGCCAAAAGGTTTAAAACGTTCACCCCAGTCCACCACCCAGAGTTAACCTTTGTTTACATTGGTTACATTTGGTTTACATTTTCCCTTGCTTTTTTCTATGATATATCATCTTCATATGTATAAAAATTTA